TCCAAACAAGTTCTCTCTTCTTCATAACAACAATGAAGAAAATCCAATCATGTCTGAATTCTTATCAATAACATGCAAAGAAACACTTGCAAATGAACAAAAGAAAAAAAACTTTTACTGGGAGGGTGGTCACACACTTGAACAAGTGGCCCAGAGAGGCTGGAGGCTCCTGTCTTTGGGAATATTCAGAACCATTTGCATATAGCCCTGCACAACCCGCTCTAGCTGACCGTGGTTTGCACAGTAGGTGTCAGACTAGATGGTCTCCAGAGCTCCCTTCCAACCTCAACTGCTCTGTGATTCTCTGGGCTCTTCACTTACTAAATTGGCTTGGACAATTCTCCCATTTACCTCTTATTACTAGTTAACCCAAAAATCATGCAAACTTTTCATGCAAGTTTTAAACGTTTAAGTTCCAATTTTCATATCACAGACTCAAAAAAACAAACTGCCTCTCCACTATGTGCTTTGGAAGTATTTCTACTACTGTACATGACACTTGAAGTAGCGACCTGGCCTAATGCAATGTAATACTCTGTTAATTAGGCAGAGCTGCTGAAATATACATATTTAAATTTGAAGAGACGTCTGTGAAACAGATCACTCAGCTAGACTGCTGGAAAAAAAACCACTACTGCTCACAAACCAAATACTAGAGAGTGTTTTATGCAGAAGCCGTTGCAGACAAAGCTATATCTGGTTAGCTCCCAGAAGGTGTGGCTGGCTCCCTGCTTCAATGTAAAGCTGTGCCTGCCTTCCCTGACAGCAGCTGAAACATGCTACCATCCTGCATGCGGGCTCATTTCATCTGCCAGGTAATGCAGCCCTGCTTGTGCAGAAGATGATCTTTCATGTACCAGTCATGATGGAATAAATGATGGTTTCCCATAACCTGGTCTTTTTGGCAAAAGAGTACTCTCATAAAAAGTATATTGAAAATAACTTTAAATATTAATTTAAACCTCTTCAAGGAGAGCCTGATTGCTAGACACGCTCTATGCAACTTTTCCTTGAGCGCATGCTGTTCTCCTGAAGCGTGCTCTCCAAATACGGTAACTTGCAGCACATTTTGTGTTTGACAGAAATACCCTGAAGTCCATAAAAAGGTGGTTATGCTCTCCAAATGCAACCTGTTGAGCAGAAGCTGTCACGCTTTCAGCAAGGAACATTCTTAACATTTTGTTCTTGGGTCTAGGCCTAAGAACAGACCTGTGAGAACACAGAGAAATGAAGAAAACAGTGGCACTAATTGTGTGTAACTTTGGGAACTTCATTTTTTTTTTTTTTTTGTGCTCAGGCTTCCCTGCTATTGCTGCCACTCTAAAACATGATCCTTAAAAGCAGGAGGGCTTTCACATCTGGGGTCCAATTTTCTGGTCACTGAACTACATCGATATAAGAAGCATTGGGCTCTAGGAAGAGAATAGCAGCTACCCCAAATCAGGAACACCAAGCTGCAGCAGTGCCAGGATATTTGCACCGCCTAAGACCCTCCCCAAAGAAAGACTAAAGCCAATAGTTCCTTGCTTTATACAACATTTCCTCAGCAGATTACTGAGCTAACAGAGGAAAGCACTACCCAGAGCCACCCAACTGTTTCAGGAAATAGCACAACAATGAAAAGAAGTTTGAGGCAGGAGCAACCAGAAATCAAGACTTCGTATTGAGTTACTAGCACTTGCTAGCCTGTCTTTAAAGTAATAATAGTTGTTTTCTCTACTTTTCAGTTCCATGTTCCCCATCCTAGCAGCAATTTGTTCCCTTATTCTTTCTGTGCTTCCACCATTAGCTCTTTCTTGCCCTCAGAGGAAGAGAAGCTCCTAGCTATGCCTCCTTGCAGACTTGAAGTCCTGTCTGGCCAGAGGTCAGGCCTCCTCTCCCAGAAGATTCTCTTTGTAGGTCCAGTTTCCCAGCAGATCCCTTCTACCTTCCCGTCACAGTGAGGCTTGGAGAGGATGGGAAGTTCTTCCTTTAAGAGCACGAGAAGGGAGATGCCAAAATAGGCCTGGATCCAACATTTGATCATGGATGTCATCACCCTTTCAAACACACGTATTGACCCACCCGCAGACCTGCTGGAGCCAGGCACTCTTTCTCAAGGGAAAGAAAGCATTTAAACACCTGACTCCAAGATCTCCTATCCACCACAAATCCCAGTACTTCAGAACTCACTTTACTGCTTTGATATCTGTGACAGGCACTCAAGCTGCCTTGTTTCCTCAACCTATTTTAATCAGAACTGCATAGTGCCACTAGTTATCAGTTTGAAAGCCGGGGCATCAAAATACATCTTATTTTCTTCTCAGCAACTAAAGAAAATGATTTTGCAAAACAGCTTAACTGGAAATAACACCAACAACCAGCAAACCATCTGTTTTAACCTCAGTGTTAGAGTTAACAGCTATTTTGGACTTGCACAAAGGAAGTCAGATAAAGCTATTCGTGTTTTTGTTATTTCTTTCCCAGGGACTCTAAGCACCCATTATTTTCATTAAAGGTAACAGAAACAACAGCAACTGCAGATGCCTGAGAAGAGGCAGAAAACAAAACTCAGGGACACAAACAACATTAATTCAGTGTTGTGCAGTGATACCAGTCACTTCTCTCCCAACACCCGAAGTTGATCCAGACCCTTCCCTGTCTGGCAGCACCTGCCCCATGGGCAAGGCAGGCTTCACCATGAACACACAGTGGCTGACTACAGATTGAGGCTGTCCTGTACCACCTCACACTGCCAGCAGCAGCAGCTGGGCCTATACTGTGCTTCTGAGATGAAGCATCAGTTAGCCTGATAATGCTAGGGACTATTTCTAGGTATGAATAAGACATCGGGCTGGGAAGGGAGACACACTACTAAGTAATTTGTTTCTTAAAACAGAAAAAAAGGGAAGCAATAGGATTTTCTACTTCTAGCTAAAAAGACCACAAGAGTATTGTAAGTGGCTCTTCTTCATTTTCTTGATAGCTTTAGCTCATCCTTATTAATTATCTTAAACCTTTTTCTCTTCCACATCCTCCCTTTCTTAAAGGGGCTGTCTTCCAAACCAAACAGCTTGACACTAGTTTGAGCCTAGTCAGCTTGACACTAGTTTGAGCCTAGTCTGACTCAAAAATTTATTTCCAGCACTGACGTAGCTGAAGTCTCAGAAGATTGCAGTCTACAAAGACTCTTCCAGCATCAGATGATGTCAGGTGCTTGCCACTAGGATACTTCTGTTGAGATTTCAACCAGAAGATCACACTCTGAAGTTTTAGTTTTTGTTCTGATTTCAATTCTATCTCAGTCTCATGAAAAACTCTTCCTTTCAAGCTCAGAACCTGGAAATGGAGGATTCTTTCATCCAACGATTTTTAAGTGAGAGAATGGTTTTGTTAGTGCTGCGTGCCTACTCCTGCATTTCTTACTTGTATGTTTCACTACACTTGACCAGCAGGGACTCAAAGATGTGTTGTCACTGCAAGAGACAGCTGTCTTCACCTTGACTAGAACCTCTTCTTCAGTGGGTACAGACCCAGTCCCTTAGGTCAGAACAGTGTCTGATGAAGTGACAACTGGTGCCAGTACAAGTAGATCCATGCTAAGGATATGATACATGCATGGCCTAAAAACATTTGATCTACAGACTAGAACTACAAGAGTTTAGTTGTACAATGCAGTAGTTTCTGTAGTCTGGAATTTGAGCAGCCAAAAAAAAAATCACGGAGGGTACACGCTTCACACACATCAAAGCACTACACTATCTGAACTCCTGCCAAACCAAATCACCATGCTAGGAACAGCATGTAGCATCTATCATCATCATTACGATCAACGGAATGAAAGGGCAGAAGCAACCTCTACTCTGTCTATTACTGGGAGGAAATATTCACAGCAATACCCATATGCCCTTCTCAAGAGACTTCTGCATCTATTTCTGACAGCCATAGATCAGACTCTTTCATTTCAAAGGAAATCTGAATTCCAGAGTTAATAGGTCAACTTAATTTTCTTTCCCAAACCAACAGTAAAGCACCAACACCAGTTCTGTGTTACAGTGTATATTACCATAAAGTAATGACATGAAGAAATAAGCCAGCGGAGGCAGAGAAACTGAGTGATAACTGATGCTGAAATAGCACCACACCATGAAGCCTATGGTCCAGTTATCTTACATATGCTTACGAATGAGAGTCAAAACAGTTTTTGAAGAGGCACATCAGCTTGGCATTTAAGTATTTTATGGTGTCTATAGACTTCTGGAGTTAGAGGAAAATGGCAACTTTTACTTGCCCATCTGTCAGTAGCATTACAGAACTCTAGGTTTCAGTGCTAGCTCCAGCTTACTCCCCTCCATCCCAAGCTGCTTCTTCCAATGGGTTTCTACCAGTCCCATCACACCAATTTCAGCACACTACGCCAAGCGTAGCAGCACTCACCTGCATTTACCTCCTAACAAAGGAATTAAACTCTAGGAAAACAGTGAAGAAGGCAACCTGAAGACTGGCAAGCCATCCATCACCTCGGTGGAGGATGGCAGCAGTCCTCACACCCAGCTTTGTGCTGCAAACATTTTTTGACACCCCGGCTCCTCACAACTAGCGAGGTGTTTCGGCAAAGCCTTTCTGCCACGCCACCCCCCCGGCTGCTCAGCCCTGCGGACAGGCACCTTGCAAGGTCTCCCCGCGGACACCAGCGGGGCAACTCAGCCCTGGGGCTCTCGGCATCCCGGTGGGGCCACCCTCTCACCACTTGCTTTGGCAGGAGAGGGTCAGGCGAGGGGTGGAGGCCGGGACCCGACGTAGCCGAGGGATGCCCCGAGCATCCCCCGGGGCTGGCGCTGCTTGTGACTAAGCACGCCCGCGGCCCTCAGCGGCCCCAGCAGCCGGGCTGCTCGGGGGCAGCCCCAGGAGATGGGACCCGACCCCTGCCACCCCGGGGGACCCCCATGAGGGTCCCCAACCCCCTCCCCGGGTCCTCCTCGCCGCCGCCCAGCCCCAGGCCCCCCTCTCCCACCGCCTACCGCTGCCGTCCTTGAAGCGGGGGGGCGGCACGTCTCGCAGCGACCGCGTCCAGCCCCCCTTCTGGGCGCCTTCCTCCTCCTCCTCCTCTTCCTCCTCCTCCATGGGGCCGGGGCCGCCCGGCACCGTCCCCCCCCCGCCGCCAGCCTGCCGCTGCCGCCGCCGCTCCGCCGGCCTGGGTGCTCGGCGCCGGGCCGCCCTGCCCCGCGGGGACTGCCCCCCGCCTTCCTCCTCCTCCTCCTCTTCCTCGCCTCCATCCTCATCGTCCTGGGAGGAGGCTGCGGAGCGGGAGTCGGCCGAGGTGCTGTAGAAGGGGTTGCCGCTGCTGTCCTGGCCCGACTCCCCGAAGACGTCGTCGGAGATCTGCAGGCTCTCGTAGCGGGAGCGGGCGGCCTCCAGCAGCGACAGCGCCTTCCTGCGCGCCGCCCGCCGCCGCCGCCGCCGCCCTCCGCCATCATCTCGGCCGCCGCCAGCAGCCGCCCGCGCTCCCCTCGGCCCGGCTCGGCCGGGTCCTGCGGCCGCAGGCAGCAGCCCAGCAGCTGCAGGGGCTCGGGCACGGCGGAGGGCAAGCAGCGAGCGGGGGCAGCCCCGCCACTGCTGCTACCGCCACCAGCACCGCCGCCACCGAGCCCTGCCTCCCGCTCCCGCCCGCACCACCCGCCCCTGTGCGTGTGCAGGGACATGGGGGGAAGGAGCCAGCTCAACATCTCCAAGTACCACATCCAGCCAATTACCGCGGCACTCCGCGCACGGGAGGTGGGGTTATATGGGCCAGAGCCGGCCGCCCACGGGCCGCCCCGCCGCCCGCCGCCGCTCCGCCCATTTAAAACCACAGCGCCGGGCTCGGGGCTGCCGCCGCCGCTGCGCCGCGCCGCCAGAAGGGGGGGATCCCATCCCCATCCCCATCCCCATCCCCATCCCCATCCCCATCCCATCCCCATCCCCATCCCCATCCCCATCCCCATCCCCATCCCCATCCCCATCCCCATCCCCATCCCCATCCCCATCCCCATCCCCATCCCCATCCCCATCCCATCCCCATCCCCATCCCCATCCCATCCCCATCCCCATCCCCATCCCCATCCCATCCCCATCCCCATCCCCATCATGCCCATCATGCCCATCATGCCCATATCCCCATATCCCCATTCACCATCCCCATATCCCCACCCCTTCATCCCCATCCCCACATCCCCATCCATCATCCTCAAATCCCCATCCACCATCCCCACTTCCCCATATCCCCACCCCTTCATCCCTATCCCCATCCCCACATTTCCATCCCCATCCGTCATCCCCATATCCCCATCCACCATCCCCATCCCCACATCCCCATCCCCATCCCTCACTCCCATATCCCCATCCCCGTCCCCGCCCCGTCCCGCCCCGTCCCGGAGCTGTCCGCCCGCCCGCGGTGCTGAAGGCGGCCCCAGCACCCGTGGCTGACCCTAAAAGCACGGTGGTGGCGAGGCATCAACGAGGGAAGGGCTGTGCCGGTTAAACACGGCTCCCGAGGGCAACCTAAGGGTTTGTTAAAGCAGCCGAAGTATCTGGTTATGCACAAGTCAGAACGGTGTGTCTGATGTTAGGGTAATGTTTGAAATCCCCAATCAAGGTTTATTATCATTACTATTGGCTTCCCGCTGTGCTGGTTACTGTACAAACGCTCATTAAGAAGACAGTCCCTGCCTTCCCACTTGCTGACAGCCCACCCTTTCGCAGCACTGCTCTCAAAATAAACATCCATTGGATTCTGTGGAATGGTTGCGTTCAACTGGGGTGGAGGACACACACATATAATTTGCATTTTTGATGCAATTCTTTGGTGTAGGTTATTCAGAAAATCTGTCAGCGTCAGAGATTTCGCAAATTTTATAACACTGAATCTTTCTGTCTTTTAAAAATGAAGATTATGCCCTTCCAATGATTCTCAAGGACTCTAGCACAACCTAGGAGATGATAAAAGTTGGGATGTATAAGTATTTAAAAATTCAATCTTATGTTCTATTCAGATGTTTTTAAATTGCCATGACATCATTAAAACTTTAGGGTTCTGTATAGCGCGTACAGCCAAGTCCAGAGAAAAGAATCCATCTTTTGAGCACCTTTAAGCAAATAGAAAAGCCCAGTGCAATCTGAGGTGTGAGATTTAAGCCATATTTCTACTTCTGAAAAATCTCAAAAATGTCTTATTGATTATATTAAAAAATTACTAAGTTTATATACAAATAGTTTTTATGGATTTTTCCTTTTTTTTTTCCTTTTTTTTTTTTTTTTTTTTTTTTACTGCAGGATCTGCCACCTTAGCCTGTAATGTGGGTTCTTCTCATCTCTGGTCAACAGAAATCATAGTTCTGTAGGCCAACCTGCCCTTTTAATCACATCTATGCTACCCTGTTGTCTTCAGAATACCTATAACAAATTATCGTTTGAAGACAATGAGGTTGCAAATCTGCCACTGGAGACATAACTGGACTGGCAGAATTGTTCTTGCTGGTATCGACAAGTAACCAGTTTGAGCCTCATGAGTCCATTTGGACTGGCAAGTAGAAAACAACAGATTACTTCTCCCAAATGTTGTCTGTTTCGTATGCAGTACCCATGAAACAAACAAAATACAACAACAAAAAAAGTGGTGCACTCTGATGACCTTTTCACACAATGATTTTTAAGGAAAAAAATATAATTAAAGGTCTTGACAGGTGTTTTTTTTGTTTGTTTGTTTGTTTGGTTGGTTGGTTGTTTTTTTTTGGTACTAGAGACATGGATGGACCTCTCCATCCAGGTGAATTCATCTCTGCATGCAGGTTTTATGAGTGTGTCCTTGGACATTGAAATGTCAATAGCGTTTCTATTTTTTCAGTAAAACACAGCAGCAAGAAGGACTGCTCTGAAGACCAGGACAGAAAAAGAAGGCTTGCCAGGATGGGCTCCCAGTAGAAGTATTAATGAGAACAGTCCAGAGACCAAAGAAACCCACACAGATTTTCACAACTGCTGGTTGCAGCAAAGACAATTTCCCCCACTTCCAGCACACTTCACTCTAAGTTCTCATTACAGCTGGTTGAGGCACACTGCCATGACTTTCACTCCTACTGGCATGCCAGATGCCACAATTTCAGCTTTCATTTTTTGAAGAGAATACTGGAAACAATAGCTCTGGGACCAGACGGCTACACCAATAGGGAGCAGCAGGACTGACCCTTGCAGTTACCCATCCAACACAACTTCTTAAAGATGGAGTCTTCTGCCATACATGTGCACCTTTTATTGGTGAAAGTTCTCCCTCTTTCAGCCTCTTCTATAGCTGTTCTGCCTGTCTCACAAGCAGAGAGACTGCTCTGAGTTTTTCATGAATGCACAGAAGGGTAAGATCACTTTTCTGAGAGAGGACCATGGAGGGTCACACAAGGGCTCTACGCATAGGATTTTAGCTTGCATTATTTGCTGTAACACATAGCTGTTTGAGTAGTCTTCTCAGAGCAGCTGTATAAGCTGCTGGTTGGATTGCCATAATCCAAAATAAGGGTTCTAGATTGTGAAAGTTGCTGCATATCAAATGCTAATAGTCTTTTGATGACAAATAATTATAGAGAGGCAAAGAGAGGAAAGGTGATTCTAATAACATTCTCATCAGGTTGCAGGGTTTTGTGACCAGTCAAGAAAACAGTCACCAGCTTGTTGGTTGACAGAACAAATTATATGAACCTAATGGGACATTATACACATAGACGTGTTTTCTCCTTAATCACTTGTACTTGTGTTTAGCTGCTAGAAAACATTACTACAGTAAACTGACTTTTGTATCCATGGCAACCTGTGGATCCACTTTTAATTTGTCTGCAGAGAAAATGCTGGGATTTTTTTTCCTTGAAGTTTTCTATTTTTATTGCAATAGCAATGGTGCCTTCTATGTGCTCCTTCTGATCATGCCAGCTTTCAAGGGTAAGACCATGATAGGCCTGAGCCTCTCTCATCTTGTGCAGTAGGTCATCAAAGTGCCTGACACTTCATTTGCAGATCCAGTGGCCAGCTGTCAGTGGCTGATTCCTTAAGTCATCTTTCAAACAAATTATAAAATATGTTGAAGAAGTGGCATGGTGGGTCACATCATGCATAGCAGAGCAGTGTCAGCACAAGCGGTCAGATGGTTCCCTGTCCTCAGTTTGCACAGTTTCAAGTTTTGTACTGCTTCTACTACAGCTGAAGGTAGAATAACCCCATTGCCCTGACCAGTATGTTCCACACTGGGAGCAGGATTGAGCCCTTATTTCCTTAGTTAGGTTGCAAAGGAAGACCACTTCAATCTAACATTTGACTGCTGTAGTGATACTGTAGGTCTCATCAATTGACTATGGGCTGTCTGAAGAGCTCTTGCTGAGAAATTGAACCACTGAAAGATGGCAAATCACAGGTTTCTAACTCCCTTCCTCAAACTACTTTCGTTTATAGTGTTGAAGACAGCTAGAAATATATCAGGGTTTTTCTTGTACTATTATTCCATGTATATCAAGAGGTGGTTATCTTTCACTGAAAATATACATACTACAAGAAAAGGATTGTGAGCTAGTCTGAACAGGCCTGTTAAGCCTAAGGTGGTGAGTTTTAAAATAGAATAAGGAAAGTGGCGCCTTGAGCCAGTAGTAGAAAATCCCATATTTCTGATTTTTCAGTAACTTACTCTTTGTAGTTAGACATCAAGCTCTTGGAGGAAGGGTCTTGTACTGTGTTTGCACTACTTCATGCTGTTAAAGCGTGGCTCAGATCCAAGAAACCATTGACATTTCTATCTCCTATCTAAGCTTTCTTACTTTCTATTGATTTCATAGAGTTTGTAGACCTAAGCCCCAGTGTGTACCTGGATCCTTTCACAGCAAAAATTCACCAAGTTGGAATAATATTTAATCAGTTCACCAATTTATTATTTTCTAACCTCTTTACTGCAAGCACAGCCCAGAATATGAATTTCAAGCTGTCTTCCATCTCAAAGCCCTCCTTAAAGTAATCTGTACAGTTGATACTTTACACAAGGGTTGATTTCTTCATCAAGTATCAGGTGAAATAGACTCCATTTCCCTCTTCTAATATTGTTTCGCATCAGGTGAACAGGAAAACTCAAGAAAAAGGCTTCATCAGAACTGAAAACTGTGATGACTTGGAAAAACAGAAGATAAAAACTTTGAGTTCAAAAGTAGTGGTTTTACCCAGCCAGTTCTCTGACAACAAACACATTACAGCTGTAAATATGGAGCTGGCACACAGTTTCCTCCCAGGCCCCAGAGAAAAGGCAGTAAGGGGCTGTCTTGTCCTTGCAAGAAATCATGCATCAGGCTGTTTCTCAGCACATCACCACATGATATCTAGTTTACTCTCACCTCACAGGAAAGAAACCTATGCAACCACAACCGGTAATGTCACATCACTCTCCATGCTCTGTTATAAAGGCTTCATATTACGTGACTGGCTGCATGGCATGGGGAAGAGCAGCTCTGTAGGGGTTGATTTCCACTGTACTGCCCTGCAAAATACAGATCCTCCATATTGGGAGGTATAGCACAGCTTCTTTCCTCCTTACAAAAGTTTCTTTTGAACTCCTTAGGTAGTTGTAGCATATGAGATGTTGGCAGCAATAGCAATGGTTGTCTAGATATTTCCTTTTCATTCTTAGGTTTTCAAATTCTTGGTAGTGTCTGAACCCTCTGCTTCTTGGATTGAAAGAAATTTTACATTGCCTAAACATGATGA